GTTCATCGTCTGTACGGGCACTGTTCACTGTCCGTACGGGGGCACTGTTCACTGTCCGTACAGACACTGTTCACGCAAAAAAAAAAAAAAAAACAGCCATTCCGAGACAGAACCTTTCTCTCTTATTTCCAGATCTGGTCATCTCCTTTATTTTATTTTGTGATGGAGGGCTCAAGTAATGCGTCCAAAAACACGACTGGCATCATCTCCGGTACTACCACATCTCCATTCTTTTCTCGGGCCAGTGATTCCAATCGGAACAGTGGACGCGGTCGCGGACGTGGCCGCAGACAGAGGCCTCGTTGCAATTATTGCCAGAATCTTGGGCATTTTGAAGAACGCTGCTATGGAAGTACCCTCATTTGAAGCCACTGACTGCCAACTTTGGCCAAACTGATGTTACCTTCTACTGGATTAGTAACTCTTTCAAGTGCCGACTATGAGGCACTTCTCAAGAAGGTTTCTTCTCAGCATCTTACTCAAGACACTGGTGATCATGTTGCTTGTTTTTATCAATCATCTCTTGGACCCTGGATAATAGACTCAGGTGCTACTCATCATCTTTGTGGTAATAAAGATCTCTTCACTTCACTTTCTTATTCTAATAACCTACCCCCTGTCACTCTTGCTGATGGCACTAAGGCTCCTGCTCGTGGAATTGGGGAAGCCAACCCAACTCCGCTTTTAACTTTGAGTTCTGTTTATTATATACCTGGCATTCCTTTTAATTTAATCTCTGTTAGCCAGTTGATTCATTCTCTTTCATGTACTATTACCTTCTCTAAACAATCCTTTTCTATGCAGGATTCGGGTACGGGGAAGACGATTGGAGCGGGCATTGAGTCACGAGGTCTCAACTATCTGATTGCACCACCTTCTCCAGTAGCCTATTCTCTCACAGAGTCTCCTGAGCTAATTCACGGTCGTCTGGGTCATCCAAACCTCTCCAAGCTTCAGCATATAGTTCCCTTTTTATCCAATCTTAAGTCTTTAAACTGTCATTCTTGTCAGCAAGGAAAGCACACTCGCTCCTCCTTTGCTAATAGAGTCAATAAAAGAGCTGATGCTCCTTTTTCTATTGTTCATTCTGATATTTGGAGTCCGAGTCGAACAATGTCTGTTTTGGGTTTTCAGTATTTTGTCACCTTTATTGATGATTTCTCTCGTTGCACTTGGGTTTATTTAATGAAAAATCGTTCTGAATTATTTTCAATCTATCAAAAAATTTGTGCTGAGATAAATACTCAATTTGGTGCTTCTATTCAAATTTTGCGCAGTGATAATGCAAAAGAATATGTGTCCCTTGAGTTTTCTAATTTTTTGGAGAAACGTAGGACGTTACACCAGACCACTTGTCCGCACACTCCACAACAAAATGGAGTGGCCGAACGAAAGAATCGACATCTGGTAGAAACTGCTCGTACCCTACTAATTCATATGAATGTTCCACTTCGTTTTTGGGCAGATACTATAATCACCTCTTGCTTTCTCATCAATCGCATGCCCTCTTCCGTACTCAATAACGAAGTTCCACAGAGTTTTATTTCCAGGAGCATCTTCCTATCCTCTACCTCCACATATATTTGGATGTACCTGCTTTGTTCATGATCTTACTCCAGGAAAAGATAAATTAACATCCAAAGCCTTCAAGTGTATTTTCCTTGGATATACTCGTTTTCAAAAGGGGTATCGTTGCTACTCTCCTAATCTCAAGCGTTATATTGTCTCGCTGATGTCACTTTCCTTGATCAACAACCTTTTCATTCTATCCCATCTCAGATAACACAAGTTGATCAAGTTCTTCCTGTTCCTTTTCTTGATTTGTCTTTACCAGTTGCAGGAGACTCTATCCCGAAGGAGCAGCCCCTTGCCTCCATCCCTGAGGACCGTCCTTTTCTCACCTATCAGCGTCGTCAGCCTGGGCCTCCAGCGAATTTGACCCTTACTGACTCACCGCCTGCTGCTGTCGACTCTTCCCCTCCGGATCCTCCATCAGAGATTACTCCCATTGCCCTTCGCAAAGGTATTCGATCCACTCGTAACCCTCATCCACTTTATAGTTTCTTGAGTTATGATAGACTTTCTTCACCACATTTTACTTTTGTTTCTAGTATTTTGTCTATTTCTATTCCTAAAACCACAGGTGAAGCACTCTCTCATCCGGGTTGGCGTCAAGCAATGATTGATGAAATGCAAGCACTTCACTCCAATGGCACATGGGATCTTGTTCATGCTACTCCTGGAAAGTCAGTTGTCGGTTGTCGATGGGTATTCACTGTCAAAGTTGGTCCTGATGGCACTGTTGATCGTCTCAAAGCTCGTTTGGTGGCCAAGGGATACACTCAGATATTTGGTCTTGACTATGGGGATACTTTTTCTCCTGTTGCCAAAATGGCATCTGTTTGCCTATTTCTTGCACTTGCTGCCATTCATCAATGGCCTCTTCTACAACTTGATATCAAAAATGCAGTCATACATGGTGACTTGCAAGAGGAAGTATCTATGGAGCAACCACCAGGTTTTGTTGCTCAGGGAGAGAGTTTTGGCATGGTATGCAAGCTTCGTAAATCTTTATATGGCCTGAAGCAATCTCCTCGGGCCTGGTTTAGTCGCTTCAGTTCCGCTGTTCAATCCTTCGGTTTAACCCGAAGTAAAGCGGATCATTCTGTCTTCTATCGGCATAGCTCTTCTGGCCAGTGCATCTATCTCCTGGTCTATGTTGATGACATCATTATTACTGGCAGTGATCAAGCTGGGATTGATCAGTTAAAGAAGTACTTATCCAATCAGTTTCAGACCAAAGATCTTGGCAGACTTCGATATTTCTTAGGAATCGAAGTAGCACAGCCTAGGAAGGGCATTTCCATTTGTCAGAGGAAGTATACACTAGATATCTTAGATGAGACTGGTATGTTGGGATGTAAACCCATTGATACACCTATGGATCCTAATATTAAGTTATTACCTGGACAGGGGGAGCCATTGGCAGACCCTGGTCGTTACCGCCGACTAGTTGGAAAGTTGAACTATCTTACTGTGACAAGACCAGACATCTCTTTTTCAGTTAGTGTGGCAAGTCAGTTCCTTGACTCTCCTTGGGATGCAGTTATCAGGATTCTTCGATATATCAAAAAGGCACCAGGAAGAGGTTTATTATACACTAAAAAGGGAAATGCAGAAGTGTCTAGCTATTCAGATGCTAACTGGGCAGGTTCTCCTTCAGACAGAAGATCCACCTCGGGGTATTGTGTTCTCCTCGGAGCAAATTTGATCTCTTGGAAGAGTAAGAAGCAAACTATGGTTGTCAGATCAAGTGCAGAGGCAGAATATCGGGTCATGGGAAATGCGACCTGTGAGCTCATCTGGCTAAAGCAATTGCTTAAGGAATTACATCTCTGTGAACAACGGCCCATGAAACTCATTTGTGACAATCAAGCCGCATTGCACATATCCTCTAACTCAGTCTTTCATGAGAGGACTAAACATATAGAAATTGACTGTCACTTTGTTAGAGAGAAGATTCAGTCAGGCGAGATCGAGACAGCATTTGTCAATTCCAGTGATCAACTTGCAGATGTTTTCACCAAGGCTCTTAGAGGTCCCCGAATAGATCATATATGTAACAAGCTGGGTGCTTATGATATATACGCACCAGCTTGAGGGGGAGTGTTAGAAATAATATTAGTTTTATTATTATTAGTTTATTATTCTAGAAGGTTATTTGGGCTTAGCCCATTAGGTCATTTAACATCTTTAAATAGAGGATTCTTGTACAGTTTTATACACAATTGAATACAATACATTCATACATTCTAATTCTAACATTATGAAATGGACCCTTCTAGACCTTATAAACAACAAAGTACAGATAAGTATGAAGTTCTCAGCTACTCATAACACAATATATTTAGTCCACCAAGATGTAATATGATACAGACGACAACAACCAATAAGCTAAACCAAAAGATTCAGCAAATGGAATTAATATTCTGGCTTGAAAATAGCCCAAGAAACAGTACAAACATGTCTGAATAGAAATCTCAGGAAAAGATTGAGTATAATAACAAGAAAAAGCAAAACTAAAAGATAACTTCAGAAGACATAGAGAGCTTCTGATCTCTCCCACAGACCCAAGGCCAATGCCCAAAAGATGATCCCCAAAAATGCCACCCCCACTCCCATATAACCATACCCTTTTGCTCTCCTATCACAATCCACGCTAACTGTTTCTAACAGAAATGTCATTCACCCTTGTGCTAAGTCAGTAATAACAGACTTTGAATCACTGATCCCCTGAATTGTTGCCTATTGTACACCCTCAAATTAGAAAGGGTCGTATCATAATATCCATACGTTAATTGAATCTATCATAGTGATCCAGAGCTTAAATAAAATTGGAAATGAAACAGTAATCATCATGGTTCCACCTGCCCAACTGTAGCCATAGGCTTTCACGTTAAATCTAGGGAAATTGTGCTACATCTGTCAGTGCAGTTGCTAAGTGATTTGCTGAAATTTTCTCTAGGCATAGCCCCTAGGATCTTGAATTGAAACCCACCTTCACAAGAGATTGGGGACTCCAGGAGAAGATTGGTACTTATGTCCAATTACAAGGGCATAAGTCCATTTCGAGCACCAATAGTTTATATAGTTTTATTCAAGCAAACTGGAGAGTATAATAAAACCCTTTAGTATCGATTCCTTATTCACAACAAAAGAAACCCAAGCAACAATGAAAATCACAATGTTCTAGATATTACAAGTATCATCCTTAATGTATCAGCAAAGGACTAAGAAACATCTCAATCTAGAAAGACAAGAAACTTCTCTTGCACTACTGTAGTAAACAACATTAGATGAATAACTATAAGTATTAATTAAAACCAACATTCAAAACAAAAATTCAGCAAAAAAATTATGAATGAAAAAACAAAAAAAGGTTTGTGCCCCTAGATATTCAAATCCTACACTGAGTGAGTATCTGCAAAGAGGAAAAATACCGTGAATTTGAAATGGGCAACTGAGAATCAAAGCTCGGCATCCCTCTTTCTGCTCCCTTGTCATCTTCAACACCAACCCTGCTTCTACTCCCCATACATCATTGTTACCAACATATCATAAATTCACCTTCTGCCAACAAAATATGCAAACTTAAAATTCAAGAACAAAGTAGCTGCTTCAGTAAAGTTAGAACCAACAACAAAACTCTCAGAACTAATAGAAAGTAAAAACAGCATCAGAAACAAACACAGTACAAACAAACTAATCCTAAACAAAACATAAATTGCAATCTTGGAAAGCATGAAGTGAATTCAAATCACAAGAATACAGGGAGTACCATAGAAACAGAAAAAACAAAATCACAAAATAGGACAAAACCAAAACCCTTAGTTTCAGTAACTAGTGTGAACAAAATACACCAACAGCTGTCAAAAAAAGCGCAAACTTTGGCACATCCATGTGTACCCACAAGCCCAACTCACGGAAAACGAGAATACACCCCACCAACGAGGTGGTTCAAAGTCAAAGCAACACACTTTGACAAAAAAAAAAAAAAAAGACTAATTTGACATCAACTCAGTTACACCCAGATGCCCAAATGAATTTTTTAATTAAAAAAACACCAAATCCAAGCTCAACAAGATCAAAAATTCCAAAATCACCTAGCCCCAGTTGCAGTAAAATCAACCATGAACATGATGGTTTTTACTCATGCACCATAAACTATAGCAAAAGATGAACCATACCCACCTTGGAATTCTGATGATGATGAGTGATTATGGTATTTTTTCAACTCTTTATGTTGTCGTTGGATTATTCGATTAAAGTAAAGGAACCAGGAAAGAGCGAAGAAGGGAGAGAGAGAGAGAGAGAGAGAGACAAGGATGATTCCAATCTCTAGACGTCTTCTTGTGCCTAAATCTTCCACTTTCCAAGGACTAATGATTTTTTAATTACATTTTTATATAGTAATGTTTTAGTGCCTTGACATGTATTATATTTGGGTTCGCTTTTATATCATTATTGCAGATAATTATCTGAATAAGTTTAATATGATATCGTTTTGAGATGGAAATTATAGTATTTTTATAATTTTAATTTATTTCAGGGTTATAATAGTCTTTATATTTATAATTTTTTAAGATTTCAATTCCAAAATAACGTCGTTTTGGGAATTAATACATATAACTTATCTACAATAACTGCAGAAATATTTTTTCCATTATATTTATACGTGTTATTATTACATTTTGATATTAATGTCTGCTATGACATGTATAATACTTGTATTTTTATTATTGGTTACTCGATTAAGTATGATAAAATTCTTCCTATTTCTTATTATTATTTTAGCCATATTATTCTCATTACATAAGTTTTTTTATGAACAATTCTTATTATTTTTATTTACTTAATTAAGCTAATTAATTAAGTAATTCTTATTACTTAATTAATTAGTGTTGAATCAAATTAAAATTAATTATTAAAAAATGTGAAAAATTAATTTTCGTTGATTTCACGTTAATCTAACAATAATCAATCATGTAGTAAAACTAAAATAATAGAGAGTATAATATTCCCCTAAATTTTTAATATAATGTGTATCTAAAATTTGAATTTGTGATTTTAGCCGAACAATCTCATTTTAACTAATCTATCATCTATGTATTTGGTGGTTGTCCTTATATTTTGTTTCCTATTTAATTTATTTATTTTTTATTTTCAAAAATTTTCTGCAAAATTTTCCTCATTCAAGAAATTAGACTATTAGTAAGTACCTAAATCAACTCGTAAGGAGTTATTCAAACTTAACTAATAATTTTGAGAGTAAATATCATTTTTCGTCTCTGGAAATTTTCACGAGGCCAATTTAGTTCCTAGGTAAAAAAAAGTCATATTTCAGTGTCTAATTTTTGAAAAAAAGGGACACGTTTGTCCTGCTGTTACTGGGAATGTGACGGCCCGGAGGCCAGCTGGAACGTTAAGTGGTTGAGTCACTAATGTCACAGCCACGTGGACATAATAGGACGTCGTTCAGATAGATGCCTTATGTCTAGTTGGATGTTTGGACAGGTGACCCTTGCATGAAAGGGTTAGTGACCCAATATAGTCCCTGTCAAATTAGGAACCCTAAATCAGCCTAAACCATGAAAAAAAAACCCAAAAGCTCCCCACGATGAAGATTAAAAAGAGTGTCAAGTAGAAGGTGTTTACTGACTATTTTCTGGTGCGTAGAAGAAGATGAGTATGTCATCTGGCTTGGGGGGATCAAGTGGGAGTACGTCTTTTGGGTGTAGAACAACCTCACAGACTGGCGGTCGAAGGTGCAAATGTGGGAGGCAAACAATCGTCTATACCTCCAAAACAGAGAGAAACCCAAATAGGGCATTCTTTGGGTGCCCTAATTTCAAGGTATACATTTGTAAATTGAGTTTTGATAACTTGGAATATTTGCTTACCGTGGTTTGCAATTTTGGCAGGATAAAAAGCCCTTTTGTAATTTTTTTAGATGGGTAGATGATGTATGTAATGAAAGGCTGGAGCTTGAAGATGGAAGAATCAACAAGGTTGAGTTGGATGTTGCTGAAATGGATTTCAAGCTGAAGTATGTGGACATGATGATGAGTGAGAAATTGCAAGCTAAGTTGAATGACCAAGGTGTGAAGATTAGTGAGCAAGAACTGAGTATCAAGGTGTAGGAAAGAAAGTTGAATGACCTATACCTGAAGATGGTGGAGGAGTTAGATAGGATGGACAAGGAAATTAGGCATGTTGGTAGGGCAGCTAGGGTCTTAGTTGCTGCTTGTGTAGGGTTTTTGATGATTTGTTTTTTGATTGCAATTGTTGTAACAATGAAATGTAGTTCTGTTTTTTGATGATTAAAGTTCACAAGATGCTATGATTATATGGCAATGTAGTTCTGTTTTTTGTGCTATAAAATGTGTTTTTGTGTATACTGCTAACTTCATGATATAATACAGTATATGTCAATTGCAATTGAACAAAGTTATGGAGTAATACAGCCCATTCCCATACATCATATGAAGTTTATTCCTGTTATGATTCCACTGTCATGATGGGGCATAACCATTTTTATCTGCACAGTGAGGGTGGACTGATGTTATGTGGTGGTACATGGACATTACAGATAAATGACAGTTGGATGTAGTGAAATATCCAGTCAAATGGTATGTTGCAAATGGGAATTTGAGAGGTGGACATTGGTACGTAATGATGAAACTAAACCCCAATTTGGTCCCTGACAATATGTATCGGGGGCCAATTTGGTCCTGGACAAATGCCATCGGGGCCCTATTTGGTCCCTGACAGTTTAAAAATGGACATGAGCTGTTTAGAGAAAAGAGGTATTTCCAGTAACACAAACATTTAAAAATCTCATTTTAAAAGTTGCATTTTAACCCATGACACATTGGATTGCAGCAAATGACAGTACATAAATGAATTTAGCACAGGAACTTGTAGTAAAAAATGGAGCACCTAAAGGCCTTAAATACAAAAAAAATAATGGGGGTACAACTGACAGTTCATACAATTCAAAAAATTGGGTACTAAGGACCATTGTTGCCTATACAACAAAAACTGAACCCCTATACAAAAAACTGATCATCTTCATTCAAGCTGGCCTTGGTGGCCTAAACCCAGGTGTGGCTATAGATGCCATAAGCCTGCTCCTTGTGTCACTGCTTGTTGCATTGACAGTTCAGTTGACAATTGTTGTGCTGGTGGTGGGGCAGTAGGTGGTGGGTTGTTGCCCCTAATGGCTTCCTCAGCTGCCTGGGACTGCCTTGAAGGTCCTCCTTGACTCAGAGGGATCTCCTCTTCGTGTCTTGCTGCTATGTTGACATTAACTGCATGTAAAGGTGTTGCTGCTCTCCTCCCTCTCTTGCTTGCAGCTGGTCCCTTACAGGTCTTGACATAGTAACCAGACTGCCACATTTAGCACACTTTGCAGCACGTGTCCTCTTTAATTTTTTGGTTTTGCTGTCATGCTCTTCAGTTTGATCCTTCTTCCTATGCTTTTTGGGACGACCAACTGGCCTTTTCAGTGGTGAAGGAATGGGTTTAGGCTCAGATGATGCAGGCCAGTACTTATCAGAATTGACAGGGTTCAAGGTATGTGCATAAGTGGCATGCAAAGCATCCACTGTCAACCATTGATGGACATAAAGCTCTGCTGGTTCATTCTTATGACATATTGCAGCAATTGCATGCTCACATGGCAATCCAGTGAGCTGCCACACATTACATGCACAAGTCTTGTAGGTTAGGTTGACTCCAACCCTTTCACCTTTTCCAGTCACTTCGTATAAATCTTGCTCCAAGTTCCCTGTCCAAATTGGTGTCCAGGAGTTGCTTAACACCTTCAATTGATCCATTGCCGGTGGCGGAGGCTTGTAAGGCTCATCTTCTACACTGTCGTATGAATAACATGACAGTCCATTGATCTCTCCCTCTTCGCTTTCATCAGCAGAAAAAGCAGAAAAAGAATTGAACTCACACGAACTTCCAACTGAATCACCTAAGACCTCCTCCTCATCAGCACTTTCAGGAGGAGACTCTTCTGCAGGCCCAGCCAAAATCTCAGGAACTGCAATGCAACCATCAAAATATATGTCTATTTTGTTCCCATTACTTAAGGCAGCCTTGACCATTTGCAAAACATCTGAATCCTTTTCAAGAAGATGCAACACAATCTCTAAATCACTCTCACCAGGCTTCAACCACCACATCTGTCTACTTTTGTGGTAACCATACCCCTTGAACAGAGCTTCAAGGTCACGAAGGTTTAGATAGTCTGAATCCATTTCAGGTAAATCATCCACTCTGCCATTCACATAATTCAGCTTCCTTTCATCATTCCTAACCAACACACCCCCATGATGATATCTTATCACTATATATTCATCCATCTGCATAGAAAACATAACATAATCATTTTTTACACTACCTTAATATTATTTTACAATATCATACAACCAATCAATTATTATCAATATTACTATAATACTGTAACAGTCACAGTTATTTTAAATGGCTGCATTGCTAAAAAATTAGGGATTTTTTTTGTAATCACTACACATAGCAACTTAAAATAACAGCAGGGGGACCACATGCAACAAGTTTCAAAAATATTCTACCAAAGGGGACCACATAAAAAAAACCCTAACCATCTCTTGCCCTAAACTGCACATGGGGGACCACATTAAGCAAAAACACAATGACCAAAAAGGATAGAAGGACCACAGATAATAAAGAAAGGGTTTCTCTCACGTACCTTGCATGAATGTCACCACAGTCACAACCGTTTTAAGGATCTTCACCCTAAACCACACTACTTCCAAAAGCATGCAACTGCAGAAGACACGTACAACAACAAAGCACCGTAGGTCACCAACCTTCACTGAAAACGAAGCTCACGAGCTGAGGAAATGGCGGGTATGGACAAGTTACTTGTTGTCTGACTGTGTTAACTGAGTCAACAACAAAGGTTCAAGAAGTCTATCTTCATCAAACGATGTCGTCCCCTTCTACACACCTAATACAGCCTTCCAATGTAAGACGACGTTGTTCCTTTCTCCTCCACGTGGCTGTGACGTTAGTGACTCAACCACTTAACGTTCCAGCTGGCCTATGTCAAGTGGGCCGTCACATTTCCAGTAACAGAAGAACAAACGTGTCCCTTTTTTTCAAAAATTAGACACTGAAATGTGACTTTTTTTTACCTAGGGACTAAATTGTGCCTCGTGAAAATTTCTAGGGACGAAAAAGGATATTTACTCTAATTTTGAATTTGAATCCTTAAAAATGCGACTAGTTATTAAATAATATAAAAAATATATATAGATGCAAGATATACTGACAGAGAAAAAAATTTATAGTAATGTTTTACTGTCTG